CTCTTCCAAGCCAATGGAAAAACATAATATTCATCAAATGTGAAGGCACTTTACAAATCCATTCACGAGTTCAAGCACATTGGGGAAAAAATGTCTTCATGCATGTGCTTGATTACAGAGGATGAAAGCTGATTTCTGTGCATAACAGAACGCATTGATTATCCACAGGTGAAATGATCAAGACCTTATAAAATAATACTTTTTGGCATCACCACAGCTGAAATTCACTCCCCTAATTCACATTTAAATACCACAAAACGTATGCAGAGCATTGAGGAACAAAACTGCTGTAATTTACGGACAAATCTAAGGATGACAGGAAGGCATTACCATGGAGCTAGGACCTATGATTACTGAACGTTCCAAGAAAGAGAAGTTGGGTAATAATGGCCGCAGCAATAGGAGAAACCCGATCCAAACCAAGGCAATAAATAATCGTTTCGTAACATTGGCTGAGCTGAGGTGCAGCACTTGGCAAAGTAACATGAGCGGAATATTAAAATGAAGGCTGGAAGGACGGAAAGGTCGTGATGAGTCAGGAACCACTTGTGAGACTTTGCCCAACGTGATGAGAAACACGTGTTTCTAATCATTCAGGAGGAGCGGGCACTCAGCCACGAGAAGAACAGTCCGAGCTTCAAGACGGACGCAGAATTGGGAAAAGACGGTCATTTACATGCAGCAATTGGCGCAGCTGTCAAATCCTCCGCCGAAATGAAGTCTAATAGTTTGAGATCACTTGGCAACTCCTTATTGACTGATTTTTCATACCAGAATATCTGTGTTCCACAATACAGCGATTATTTCCACATCTGTCTAAGGGATCGTAGTCATTCCACATTGCTTTACTTCACTGTGCTTTGCTTAACTCTCCTGCTATTTAAACAGTCACAGACAGTCAAAATTCACTTCCACTTCCCCTCCTAAGGCTGGTCACCAGCAGTCAGATCCTATGTCAAGCAAGCACTGTGACTAGTCAAACTGGGTCAATAGACAAAGCAGGCAAGTTGTGGCCACAGCTGTTTTATCACTCACCCGGAGTCAAAGCATAGCTGTATCAAGTTACTCAAACAGTGCCAGCCATTCAATCCTGCTTTATGTACCGGTAGGCTGGGAATTCTTAACTGTTGAACACAGTCACTTGATTGATTTTGACTGAAAGGACTAGGAGGGATAATTCACATTTTGTTTACATCCCTATGAATCTGAAAAAGATCAGGAACTAAATTTAGTAAGTTAACCTTCAAAAATTCCAGCAGTGCTGACATCACTTCTTAGTTCATCACTTCATCAATTCTTAGACATGATGGTCAAATAAGACTCTCCCAAAGGTTACCTAAACGTAGACGATGAAGACAAAATTACAATGTAATTGCATTGCATCTTCACTGGTAAGTGTTTTGCAAAATGTCAACTGCCAAACACGGACAGAACCAAGACGTGGCAGAGAACAAAGATGGGTAAGAAACAGGAAACTAAAAACCCAGCATTAACGACACATCAATGTTTGGTGCATGCTGAAATCCAAGCCTCGGTTTCCGTCCCTGTGGGTTTAGGTTGCTTGTATGATTTACCGTCAAAAATCACGTACGCGATATTAAAACGTTCTGCCGGCACAGAGTCGTAATAATTTAATCATGTGGGCCCGTACAATACACGTCAAGTGCTTATTACATGTACACGTCTGCCTATGTGGGACAGAATCCTCATTCAAGACATTGCAAGACAGCAAACAAGAAACACGATTGGTGTCTATCTGATGTGAATTGCAGGTACCGGTACCGGTACCGGTACATGTAAATATCCCCCAAAAAGAGTAACTACAACCAGAAAGGGTTTTTTTTGGGGGGGGGGGGGAGGGGGTTGTAAAATGTTCAATCACATGTTTTGAGCAGGAAAACTGGGTCAGATTTTTGTCCTCGCCTTTTTATTTTTGGTTGAGTATCAACGATACAATCTCATGGAGGAGGGGCAAACGAATTCAGTGTTCTCTTCAACTTTAAAGCACTACCACACTAACGATCAATATTTGAAAGTACACGTAATCCCTCACAAGTATGGGCTCCATGCGCCAACAAGAGAGGGCGCTTTCTCACAACTTTTAGAGCCTTGTGGATGGGACACACCATGTACACGTACTGGTTTGGGCAAGTAAACCAGTTCGACTTAGTTTACTCTGTATGTACATAAAGCAATAGCATCTTTGCGTGGTTGTCGGCGTTGTTGACAGGACACCAAGACCAATCCACCTACCAAGTTTGAAGTTGACCTTTGACCTGAGGTTCACAATCAATAGGCTTCTAGACGACATCAAAACCAACCCACATACCAAGTTTAAAGGGAATATACATCATTTGCTTTTGCTGTGATTTTCAGAAATGGATGGAATTGGGGGGGTTGGAAATATAAAGCAAATATAGTTACACTGACTTTTTGGAGGTTTTGGGTTCGAAAATGCTATAAAAACCAAGAAAAACGATCATTTTCCTGTAGTCTGGTTCCCTGACTCCATATAAGAAGAAACAGAGCAGTTTACATACATTGGGGAATTGTAAGGTCAGGGAACCAGTCTAGCTGGCTCGTACCCGTTCATAGATTTGTAATCGATTGCAAACAAGTGCAATGGTCAATTGGGGCCAGTATTTGAAAAAAGCCAGTTGTTTCCAACGCTGATCGGCCGATCAGCGTTGGAAATTGATACAAAAATACCACTTTTCTTGAAAATGACAGTATACCAGGTGCCATAATTTTACAGGATGCTTTAGACTGTCATTTACCAACATCCTATTAAGGTATTTCGTAAAAACTTGGTAATTTTATTTTTCGATGTTTGCAAATGTTGTATATTCCCTTTAAAGATGATATGTCAAGTCCTTCTCAAGCTATGATGGGAAAACTGATGGCTTACATGCACACATGCCCAATCCTGTTACGTAATTGTGGGGACCACACACCTGTTGAGCGCTAGTTATTATGGGGACTGAAGACACCATAGGGACAGCAGGAAGTCCCCATAACTCAGTCCCAATTTCCCTAACAATAGAAAACTTCCCCATAACTCAGTGTCAGCTCGCCCACACACGGAAGGCAAATGTAGTAAGCCCCTTCAGCTTCGCCAGTGGTGCATCAAAGTAGTATTAAAGTCAAAAAATCTAATGTCTATCTTTGTGCTCCACAATTTCTAACTTCAAAATAGTAGGATTTTTTTTTTTTAAAGCTGAGTTCACACTTCCACAGAAGAATGTCTGAGCAGCTTTATCAATACCACTGCAAGGGCAGATACATTCTAATATTGTGTGCAATCCCTTTAATATTGAACATGCATGTAGATTTGCTCTAAAAAGATCATAACTGAGTTGTAAGAGCAAATAATGTCTACACCATACTGGCTGAACTTGTTCCGTTCATCAGTTAATAATTGATGGAAAAAAGTGCCATATGAATGATTTATAAATGGTACAAGACAACCGAAGGCATTTTAGGAGGAATAAATTGCTATTTACACAGGACTGAATATTCCATTACGGGGAGAGTAAACGCTATGCCAGTATGCCTTTATCTCGGCTCCGGTCACGTCTTTAAATACTATCTGCTCCATCTACTGAATCTGTGTCGGCCCACAGATTGGCAACTGAGGGAGAAAAAAAAACCTACAAAACAAAACAAAAAGATCCAAGTGTTGGATGGAGAGAAAATGCATACCATATGCAGCCCTAGCCTACATAAACACACGGACGTGCTTGAGATATGTGCTAGCTGTATCACTCTGTTCAAGACATTCAGATGTATAAATTAATCAGAATCTTATAACAAAATATGTAAAAGAGTTTGAGTGGGTTGAGAATATGCATATATTTAAATATAACAACATGTAAGGCAACTGATCGCGATGCCTTACAGGGTACTTTCAAGTTCAAACAGAAAAAGCTGCTATCAATTCAACAAGTGCAATTCGCCAAACAAAATTTGAAATCGAAGAAATTTTTTGCAGTGGCGCAACACCTGCGTGCATGCCGCACTACTCTGAAAGCAGGCATGTAACTGGGAATTTAGGAAAAAAACTGAGGAAATTCCAAACCACACAAGACTTTGTACAGTGTTTTTCAATTTGTAATGGCATTCATGAGAAGTAAAAATGAGGAAATTAGCGGATCCGAGGAAAAGTTGCATGCCTGTTAAAGATGAGACGCATGCTCATCTTGGTAGCCCTATTGGTTGAAGGATCCCGAGTGTGTGCGTACTACCTGAGCACAACTTGCGCAAGCCTGGTGCCACCGCAGAAAATGGTTATCGCCGAATTATTCTATATACACTAAGTGGAAACTTAGGAAGACGGACCCATCACACGGCATAAACAAGTACTGGTTCATTACAATTTTATGAGTTCATTACGAGCAATATACAGGTTAATAACAATCCTGGCCAGTAATCTGATACTACTAATCAAAACACTGCTACATGTATTCTCAAATCAATCTTATTTATACCGAGGAACTTCGTACCTTAGCCAACAATATAATCAGACATAGCATTTGGATGGTTATTAACCAATGTTTTTCCACATTTGTCTTCATTAAAGAACAGGTTAGCCATTTTCTCCACTTTTTGGACTCCACAAAACGATTTTTCAAGGACCCTGCACAGTCACAAATATCGAAGACAAAGGAAAATCAGAACTGAAATCATATGTTAAGGCAGGTAAGTACATGAATGACATGTATCAAAGAAGAGACGAAGGAATGGACCTATCACTATTGAAACTGCAACATGACAATGAAGTAAATTATAAAAGGATTATTTCCTTTGCTACCTGGCAATCATAAAACCAGTTCAGTTTGAACGTAACTATACTCAGTATATTCACAGTGAAAACTCTACTCATCCAGAAAACAAAATATATATTGTATGTATTTCCTTTTTATGGACTGAATTCCACGAGTTAATACGTTAATGAAACTTGAAAATAAAAAAATATTGACAGGAAGTGATATTGGACTTACAGCCTCCGGGTCGTTTCCTGCAGCGGTAGCGTAGCAAAAAATTGTCCTCTGTCCTCAGGGCCTTGGACGCAACGACAGCCATGCTGAGGACAATGATGTGCTGCCAGCACCCCTGCCCTGACTGGCAGGGCCTTGCAAGGGGTACTGGACTGCAGTGGTTCACCCACGGAGGAGACCTCTACGCTCGGTACATCCACGCAATCCAGAGATCAGTTTAGAATAGTGATTGACACTCCATTACCATCCAATGGGGCTGTACGCGTGTAGACAGCAGTGTGGGAGTTACAGTGTGCATGCTGTGGGCCAATTTGGATCTCAAGTGGTGTCCAATCAGACTCGCGTTTCAATCAGAGAGGAAAACAAGAAAGAAACAAAGTGCTCTGAAGATACGGCCATGCTGAGAGCAACGGAGGGGAACTACGCATGTAGAACAGGAACAGGAAATTGTGAATCATCCCTTTGGCCCGGTTTCTGGAGAAAAACTCAAGTGAAATCCCCTTCGCTCGTTGGTTCGCGTTTAGTGAATAAGAAACCCCTGGTGACTGCAAGCACGTGTCTCCCGGCAAGCTGTGTGTGTGTGTATGTGTGTATCACTGCACCGATAACAGCCACACTATTATTATGTGCATGCATGCTGTGTCGCCGGCCAAGTTCGTCTCATACATGCTTAATGGTTTATTACTGGGTCTTCCTGTTTCACTCTGGCAGGCCTGTGCGTCCTGCACAATGTGACCGTGTTTGCGTAATGAGACCCAATTGCAGACTCACAACCATAAAGGTTGAGGGTAGAGAATGTGTACACAATATTTATCAGCCGGTGCCCGGGCACATTTCTACATCTGACAGTGTCCTCTCCTGTTGTCTTTATAAAGAGCTATTAAGGGTACCAGTTTGCTGGAGGCATGTAGTGAAGTGCGAAGATTAGCAGCTTCTTGTCAGTAATCTTGCATTGATACTGACTCATTTGTAAACAACCTGTCTCTCTTATCTTGGAGTTATTAAGAGAGCAGTGCAGGCATGCAGTGTGTACACTACAGCAGTGTGTGGGCTCTTCACGTCCAGGTGTGAATAAACAACCAATACATCTCCAAGAATAATCACAGACTGAAATGTCACTTACTTTTAGCACAGGGTGGATTGAACTGAAAGTAGACTGCAAAAACAAGCTTTATTCCAAACCACAACAAACTGACCTCAGGAACCAGTCTAGTTGTTTACTCCAATTGCTGATCGCAAACAGAACATTAAGTTGAGCAATACATGTATATAAGCCTCATCCACAAGTCAACCGAAAATACAAGATTAAACTTCAACTTTCCCAGCCAAAAAGCATGTTATTCCACAGTGTTGACAAACACAAAAACCTTTTCTGCCAAAGAAGATTGAAAGCCATATGCAGTGTTTATAGCTGTCTTAAGAAGGCTGAGGTGATGTCTCATTGTTTTTCACTGACATCTTGTTCACCTTTTTTGCAAATGTCTGATTTCCAACATGTCCAAAGGTAAATGTGTCCACAGGATATAAAATGAAATGTTTGGTTTGTTTTGTGATACCGGTACATGCAGCTGCCAAGGCCAGATGTATGCCTCTCATCCACAGTACAGCTTGAGAGAGGCGACATGGGAAGAGCAAGTTCTCTCCTCTTGTATCGTCACCTCAAAAACACCCAATGAATCGCACAAGATCACATTTGACAAATCAGAGAGAAAGTGCAGATTTCAGGATCCTCTGTTTAGGTGGGGCAACTTTCCACAATTCGAGCAACAATCTTTCCAGTTTTAAATCACAGTGTTTATGAAGCCTCAGACACTACAAATGGCCAATGTATGAGGCAGTCCTCTTATAAGAAAGAGGAACAGCAAGTTTTACTTTTCCTGTGAATTTCCTGAAGATTTCTATACTTTCCTCAGCTTTCTGTTCAAGAAGTAGAGGACAGAATTACCACTGACAGTAAACCACTGAGAAGAATTTGGGATCGAGCCACGATTGAATGCTAATTTCTGCCGCGAATCTACGCACACCGTTTCTCTGGAATCAATTAACTTTGATCTCTTCGGTCCATCTGTTATTTCATGCTCCTAAGTTTAGCGCACCAGTTTCCGCTTGACGTGAAGTACAAAAAACCTAAGATCTCTGTGTTGATTCCTTCGTGGTATCTCTTCCAGACACTGGCAGAATTTGTAAACACTCTGACACAGCGCAGTAGATATGACCAAACAAAGTCCAAGCTTTCAACGTCACATATGCAAACAACTTCCAGCTGCTCGGAATTCACTTGGCGTAGCTGGATGCCACTGACGATGTGTCGCGATATCCAAGAACGTTTGGAAATGAAGATTCTTAAATCAGGACAGTGTTTTTAATTGCGTGTGTACTGCTAATGCAATCAGAGGCTGGGAAACAAAGTGCAAGCGTCTGGGAAATCTTAAACCTCCTGGAAAAAACTGGATCCCCCAAGTGTGTCTTGGGCAGTGTTCTGAGCAGATGCTAATCTGCTTAAGTACAGAAAGAAATCAATCATTCATTCTATGTTCTGGTCCAATCTAGACTCGCTGGCTGAAAGCTTAATTAGCAACGACATCTTTTTGTAGGGTAAAATTCTCCCAGGGCGACAGCCCAGACACAGAGTTTGTAGTGGGACCTCTCCACAAGCCAATTAAAGAACCGGTAACGAGAAATGCTTTCGATTAAAGACGTGAAGCAGGAACATATTTTTCAAAGAGATATTGTCCCGGACAGCTTGACGAGCATGCAGCAGGTAGTTATTTCAATTGATATCTTCCGCAGCGTACAAAGATGGAGAAGTTTTTTTTTACTTCAAGCCATTTCCCGAAGCACATTGTCTGTCGTAGCACCACCGCAAGGCAGACGAAAATGTCCCGTCTTGTGTAGGATTTCTTGATATCAGGGCCACGAGTTTGTCTCTGCGTGGGTGATCAACGCAGGCAGCCTGACATAACTTTAATAATGAGGAGAGGAGCAGTTGCTGCGCTGCGTTGTTGGTTCAGCTCTGCTGCGGTTGGGCCCAGCTGCCACAGCGCGGAGTGTGTCTGCATGCACGTGGGGCCAGGGAGAGACAAGACGATAGATCTCACACCTCCTGCACAGGCACCACAAGGGAAATTAACACTCCGCTGCACACCGTGTGATTATGCCTGTGGGATGAGCTGAAGAAATTGCGATAAAGACTCCCATTGGCTCAAAATACAACAACAAAAAAGCGATCATGCAAGAATCATAGACCAAGCCAATGTGGATGCTAAAGAGCTTTACCACAGTGCTGATTGCTTGCAGGGATGCTGTGGAGGGGGGGGGGGGAAGGACAGCAAAGACCTGCTGAGAAGTTTGTGATATGACCCGGAAACAATCAATAGGGCGCTTACTTGAGCCGAGGTATAACGTGGCTATGAGGAACGGTCTCGTCCTTTCTCCATCCCCCAGGCCGGGAGGGTCTTGGGGCATGACGACAAATAAATTAGCGGGGAGAGAAAGGCTCGGGAGGTTTGTAGTGACAGACGAATTAGGAGGATGAAATGGGGAGTGATGATGAGGATTATGTGGGTGAAAACACACTGCCCTTACTGTGGTGACGAGACGGGTTGCTCTGGGTGATATAACAGGTATACACACTAAAATGTTCAGATTTGCCATCCACCAAATTTTAAGCAAAACTGCTACAAATGAGTAAAAGTGAAAAATATTTTTTTTAAAGGTAATGGACACCACTTGCAGACATTAAAAAATGAAACTGCCAAAATGTTAGGAAATATCCTACTTGATTGTAAGTAAATAATGGTATCAAGCATCCTCTGAAATTGTTTTGCCATGTATGGCCTCATTTTCAAGAAAACAGGAATAACCATCAATTACTTGTGATGGCTCAGACCGAACCATTGCCAGGGAAAAAAACAATTAGTTTACTTTACAATCGGTTACATATCCGTGAATGAGACTTATTTCTCCAAGTGACAAACTGGGGATCGTACCACAAGTGGATGCAAGTCAAAAGAATGAACATTTTCAGAGGAAGGGTGTCTGATGGAGACCTTGCTTTGCGTCGAGAAAAATGGAGATTCCCGCTTTCCATCTACTGAAACCCCTTTTTGCTTTTACATAGCTGCCATTTGTTCGTCAGCGTGTCCTTCTCTTGTATTGAATTCTTGCCACTTGTCTTTTGATTCAAATGGCAAGGGTTATACAAAGAACCTTCAGGCGTTGGATATATTCCGTTATAATTTGTGGTAAGGCGGTCAATCTCTTAGCAGTCGGAGGTACAAGCATATTACAAGCACCAGGTGAGAACCACTTAAGCATACTATAGAACAAGCCAGAGCAAAAAAATTGCTGTTTACCTGGACAGCGCACGTGTGGACTGACCAGTGAGCTTGATCAAATTGGACCTTGTCGCTTGTCATTAGTCCCATCGCACAAGATCACACAAGGGAGCCCTGTGTTTTGAGAATACATCCCATCAATAACGCCGCGCGGGTTCATGTGGACACGGCGGGCGGAAAATGAAATTTGGATTATTGTGCCAGGAGACGCACCTGCGACCACGGGGCGCGTTTCTGCACTGCTGCCCGTTTTAGAGATGCGTGACCGATTGGTGAAAATGCTTAATTTAACGAGGGTGGGATACAGTAAAGCGTCGTAAAGCATTTAAGGCAACGGGGAAGCGGTTGGGTAGAAGGGGAGAGTTATCTGAAACGATGGTGGGGGGAACACCCCCCAGACCCAATCAAAGTCATTCTACATATTGGGGCATCATAGAAGGTTCCACAGGGCATTGGGAGTTGGTGGGGGGGGGGGATGGCGAAACGAGCGGTAGCCCTTGAAGAGGTTCAACCACAACTGTTTTATTTATTGATTGATTGATTTTATTTATTGATTTTAAAATTTATTCTGGAGAAACTTTTCAGTGGAACACTGTTTTTCAAAGGTGCCCAGCAATTACAAACATTTGTTAGTACGGTCGAGTCTCGTGAATACAAACTCGTTCAGACCTAGCCGAATTGTTTGTTATATCAGATTTTTGTATTAAGAGGAACATCAGTCCCATTTATTGTATAACCAGAATTTTGTATTAAAAGAGTTTGTACTAACGAGATTCGACTTGTATAAAAATAGAAGGAAAAAAAGCAATATAACATTATCAAAATATTATTTAAGAAAATAAATGAACCGTAAAATAAGACAAGGTTAATCAAGGTTAATCACACTACATGTAAGTCGTTACATTGACAGTAAAAAAACAAAACAGTAACAAGACCTACATGTACATTGTACTATAAAATAATAAAATATCAGGTTCTTGTAATGGCGCTTAATGGCTAGAGTGGGAGGCAAAGGATGTTGAAGTGTCGCAGGGAGGTCATTGAATAAATTAACTCCACGAGACTCAAATTTACGTTTTTCCTGAATTAGATTTGGATACAGGAGGAACTAGATTACCTTGTGAGACAGACTGGCAGTGTATGAGTTGGTATTAGAAACTAAATGGAAACAGTTGCACAGTTGAGGAGGCAATTTGGATGTTTGAACTCATTTCTTGTGAAGACGCACTTTGAACACATTGCTATCTGGCATGCAGTTATTATTTTTATAAGAACACAGACAGATCACCAATTTTGCATCCCTTTCGTTACATGCCCGTCCACTGGTTATTATTATTATTATTATAATACGTGTAATGGTACCATTAAGGAGACACGGTATCCTAATTTCTTCGAACGATGGGAGAAATCGGTCATGTTATTGTCGCCATTAGGTTATATTTGTTGCTCATGGTCTAATTAGTAAACACACCCCGAAATTCGTGGAAAAAGGACAAGGGAATGTTGGGTTAGGGCACATTTAAGTTTGAAACGTTTTGTGCACAAGTCTATGGGGATGTCTCCCAAATGTCCAATCCAGGGTAAATT